TTTTTGAATTATTTTGTAATTCATTTACGTCATTCAGTGATAAATAGTTATTTTGTTTGTTTTTGTTTTTTTAAATAAAATAAAAACAATGACACACTCAATGGAATCTATTGATTTGACAATAAACTTGTCTATTTTCAATTAATCAACTGAATAGAATGTGAATTTTTTGTTTTCTATTGATATATTAGATTTGTTGGAAGCTTTAATAATTGTAAACTAACAATTCTAATCAAGTTGATCTTGATTGAGATGAAAGAATAAATATTTTATCAAATTATTAATTATTCATTGTTTAATCTTGATTGATTATAAAGATCATTTAACAAATCAACAAAAACTTTTCCAATTGTAATAAATTCTAGTAGATAAATACCAATTCTGATTTTTCTCTATTTATACTGATTGAATAAAATATAATTTCATATTAAATGAACTTTTGTAACTTTATTGATTTATGTAATATATTTAACAAAATCTTATCTATATGCGTTAGAATATCAAGGATATATTGTTCTCAAAATAAAATAAAATAAAAATGTGTATTTTCAACTTATTGTGACAAATAGATAAGCATGAATTGTATTGTAGTAGAAGAATAAATCGATCAAATAAATTGAAATAAGAAAAAAAAGTCGAATTTGAAAAAAGTCTTCTTTTTAATCAATTGAAAAATATTTTTTGATAATTTATCAATCGAAAGATCGATTAAACTCTAAATGAAAAGCAAAAGACAAAATAATTGATATATATAAAATGTTTTTTTTTTTTCGTTTAGCTATTGTTTTATTTGATTAAAGAAAGAAAAAAGGTTCTAAATTAAATTGATAAAATAAATTGAAAAGATTTGATATTCAATGAATATCTATTCATTATTGTTGAATTATTTTCAAATATTTATTATTAAATTCTAATCAATACTGATTAACTTATTGAACAAATTCTAATGTTAATAAGATAATATTCATCTTGATTATCAATCAATTTATTTATTTCAAAAATTGTTTTTTATTTTTATTTTTGTTCTTTAAACAATTGTTTAAAAATAAATCTAAAAGAAAACATTTTCATTCTTTTTCTTCAAATGATTTCTTCATTAAATAAAATCATTGTATTTAACTGTTTTTCATAGAGATATTTTAAAAAAATGACGTTTTACTGATAAAAAGTTAAATAATGATAAAGAGAAGATTTTATTGAAGGACCTTCTTGTTGTTTTGGTGTTGATACTATTGTATTTAATATATAACTATCTTAAAGTAATTCATGTTTTGAGTACCGATCAATATGTGAATTAATGATATTTAATAATTATTCTAGACGATTTAATTCATCAGGATGTAGATAATACCGATGTAAATGAGCTGATGATAATAACATATCTGCTTTTTATTTTTCAAGAGTAGCTAATTTAAATTGACCCATTTCACCTGTCAATTCATCACATATAATATTTAACTATTTAACTATTAGACGTTTCAATCTTTTGTTTTTTCGAACTGATTCGATTATAAAAATAAATAGTTTCTTTTTTAAATAGTCGTTGTATAAACTATTGATTTTATTTTTTATTATCAAAAACGCAAAAATATTCAATACGTAAAATATAATGTTTCTATAGATATTTATGTGAGATTAATTTCTATTTATAAGGAAAATAATTCACAATTTTAAATCAAAAAGATCTTTTTAAGGTTTTATCAATAATATAATAGACAAATAAGATATTTTTTTGATTTTGATTTAAATAAAAATGAATTTATCATCGTTACCTTAGTTGATTTTCAGTTAATAAATGTAACAAGAAAGAATATTATTGATAATATTATTAAAAAAGAATTAAAACTTAAAATTCTGATTAGTTGTTTTTAAATAGATAAAAAATGAAAGAAGAGTTTCGAACAAGTTTCTTTATTTAATAATAGACATAAATAATGATAGTTATTATAGATAATATGATTAATGAATATATCTAATCAATTTCAATTAATTTATCTTGAACAGCGCGTTCAATTGATTTAATCGTTCGACCTAAATCTTTTTCAATTTTCTCGATAAAAACAAAATCAAAATAAATAAATAAAACAAAAAATTACGTTTCTATGCTTCTACAAATTTGTGTACTCATTGTTTAGTTCGATCAACAGATAATGTATCGAGTCGTGCACGAATTTGATTAGCATGATCAATAAGAAGATCAAAATGTGGTTCGATTTCAATTTTATGATGTTCACTCAAATGTTCTAAACAAACTCTTCATTGACATGCTGAACATTGATTATAAGCAGCACGATGACAAATTCTTTTATATTCTTTTTTATCAACATAATGACCACATTTCGATGTATGATCTATAGATATTTATCTAAAAATTTCAGTTTTGTTTTTATTTTATATAATTGATTGAAATTAGACTTATCAAATTAAAAAGTATTTTCATCAAAATTAATTTATTCGAAAGATTATTCCAAATAATTATATTCAAATAGAACAATAAATGTCTTCTTACTAAAATTTATTCTAAAAACTATAGAATCTATCATTTTCATATACATTCTTATTTTAAATATTTCTTTATTTACTCTTATTCATTTTTCATTATTTTATATAACAATATTTAAATAATCAATCTTAGATAAACGAAATCATTATATTAATAGTTTAATGTATGACGTCAAAGTCTTTGAACAAATATCAAACTCTATTAGATCATATTTCCAACTTCTAAACCAATCAATATTAATTATTGGAAAGAACCATATCTCAATTATAAATTTTGTGGTAGATTTTATTTTTCGGAATGAATCTACAAAGTAAGAGAAACGAAAAGGCAAACACCTCTGAGAAAGTGTTTGCAGCATGTTTTCAACTTGAAAAGTTTCTATTTGTCAACTATCCTGATCTACATGAATCAAATTCTAACAAATAATACACCAATATATATGTATATACTACATTAGAAGTTCTATTGACATGAACTTTGATAAATTTATTAAAGATCTACTTTTGACGTTCTAATAGAAGAGAATAGAAAATTGAAGTTTTTTGTAAAATAGATTCTTTTTCTTTTAAGAATTATCAATATTTCGAAGGAGATCGATCAACCACAATCTCCAACAACTATCTAAAAGTTGAATTCTTTGTGTGTTATTTATTCAAAATAAGTCCGATTCGAGGAAACTTAGCAGAAAAAAAGAATTGAAAATGTTTCTTTCTTTTTTATTGCGAAGCAATCAAGTAATAATAAAGATTAAATGATACAGAATTATCTCAAAACAGCTATCTTTTTCTAAAAAGAAAAATCAAAACAAAATTTAACTTCTAGTACACTATTGGAAAGAGCTCTCTTTATTCTACAAAATTCATCATCAAACGTGCGCTTGCATTTTGCTCCTGATATTGAAAACATGAACAGAAAATAGAAAATGATATCGTGCAAAATTGAAGTTGCAAGAACTCTTTTTTTTTCGAGATCTCGAGCTTTTCACTTTTTCTGTTTTTTTCAAGCAAAAACAATTTAATTGGTTTAGAAGTTGATAATGTGATCTAACGAAGTTTGATATTTGTGCAAAGACTTTTGTATCACATATTGAGATAAATCATTTTTCAAACAAATGATTATCTTTTGAATAAATACACGTTTATATTAGTTCTTTAATCGATTTTAATGTAATTATTTCCAGAACAAAGAAAAAAAAGAAATATATGTTTGATTAGGTAAATTTTCAATGAAAGATAAATTCAATATAGCAATTCTTAAAAGGGTTTAATGCAAATTGCAATCATTCTATGTTTTGATAGAGAAATCTTTTTTTTTTTCTTCATTATAAATTGAAAAAATAAGAAAATTAATATTGAAATAGTAAGCAATATATAGAAATAGTTTTAGTGAACAAAACAAAAAAACACAAAAACTAAAATATTGACAGAAAATAAAAAGGAATGTTAAAATAAATATATTGTTTATAAAATTAAAACAAAAACAAAAAAACGAAGATAGATTTCAGGAGAAAATATCGTTCAATAGAGTATTTATAGAAAAAGTGAATTATATTTATTCGTTGATTTAATTGATCAATATATCTAATTGATGAATTTTTATTTAAATTATTTGAACATATTTAAATAAATATTTATTTGAATTTCTCTTTGAATATAATATATGAAATAATCAATATTTATTTATTGATTATGATTAAATTCTTCACATAAATAATTATTAAAAAAATATTCAACAAATAAATAATCAATAACAATTATTGTTTAATCATATCATCATTATAATAGAATAGACAACAAATATTATCTATTTATTTAATGTTAACTGAGCAAACAGTTAACAAATATATCTACTTTAAAACGATTCAATCTCATTTTAATGTCGTAAAATAAAAATAGGTAGCTATCCGATTATATTGACCTGTTTCATCAAATATTTCAAGACAGTATTTAACGTAAAGGATTTTTTTGTTTTTGTTTTTTTTTATTTTCTTAAAAGAAAAAAAAAATAAACACCGAGACTCAGACTCATTTTTTTTCATTAATTTGAAACACAAGATGAAGATGAAGAAGAAGAAGAAGACGATTTTAAATATTTAACAAATAAATAAAAGAAAAATGAATATTAAGTGGATAGAAAAAGTGATGATGATGACGATGAGCCAACACGTGCTGTTCCATCTTCATTATACATTAAACATAAATAACCTTTAATTAAATTAATATAAAAATTATTTCATCTTTTTAGTAGAAAAATAAAAATAAAACGAACCATTTGGATTTTCTACTGTTTTAGCAGTATTATTAATAACACTATTGACTACTTCGTTTGCATCGATTCTAGTTGAATGTAATCGTCGTTGAATATCTCCGAATTG